ATCAAAGTTCTTTTGCAAACGAGTCTCAAATGCGTAAAATATCAGTTCGTCCGGAAGATCCGGTTCAAAATAACGATTTAAAGAAAGGAAGTAAACGTGCTGGTTGAAAGGCAAGAAGTAAAAATTTTGCATTACAAAATCAACAGAATCGTCGTGGATGGAGGCTATGGCAGTTCTGGATGTGCACAACTCAATTTCACCGACGACAGGTGAGGTTAATTAACTATATTTGCAAATGACATTGAATGATGTCATTACACTTCCATATGATGGAAAAAGAACACGTGTGCAACAACACGCTGTCAGAATAAAACAATTGCGACAAACATTAGGGGTTCAATTACGATCAGACTAATTTATATGTTTGTTTGTTTTTTTACCTGAAACAAGCTAAACAAGAACGACGCCGTTTACAAGTATATGTTAAGTGAGATCATGTTTTTAAAGTAGGATTTCAATTGTGTGTATACTATTGTATGTGCCACAACATCTGGGCATGCTCCTGATGAGATGGCAGATGGTGTCCTGGGGGATCTCCTCCTAGACCTGGATCAGGGCATCAGTGCTCAGCCCCTGGACGGTATGTGGTGCTACTTGTTGGCACGAAGGCATTGATTCTATTGACTGGCCCTCTTGTTCCCCAGACCTGTATTCAATTGAGAACCTCTGGGATGTTGCAAGGAGAGCTGGACAGGGCCGTGGAAGGGCAACAACCCAGCAACTGGACCGGTATCTGCGAGGAGGAACAGGAGGAGCAATGCTAGAGCCCTACAAAATGACCTCCAGCAAGCTACTGGTGTGCATGTTTCTGACCAAACTGTCAGAAACAGACTCCATGAGGGTGGCATGAGGGCCTGATGTCCTCTAGTGGGACCTGTGCTCACACAGTCACAGCACCGTACAGCTTGATTGGTATTTGCCAGAGACACACCAGAATTGGCAGGTCTGCCATTGGCGCCCCAACATGAGGGGAACGTGAGGGCCTTATAACGTTCCCCACAGGATCTCCAGACTTTTTCACGTCTATCACGTGTGCTCGGTGCGAACCTGCTAATTCGGGTTGCCAATGGCAGAACTGCCAATTCTGGTGTGTAGAATATATACCGGTCCTGCTGCTGGGTTGTTGCCCTTCCACGGCCCCTATCCAGCTCTCCTCGTCTAACTCCTCATCTCCCGGTATCTCCTCCGCGCTGTTGAAACTGTGCTGGGAGAAACACCAAACCTCCTTGTGATGGCTTGTATGGATGTGCCATCCTGGAGGAGCTGGACTACCTGTGCAACCTGATTGGGTTGCAGCTACAAGGACCCTAACAAAACAATAGGGACAAATCAGTCCCAAATTAAGGAGAAGGCAATTGTCCAACGGAAGACTTTTTATGCGTTTTGGCCGTTCAATTACACAACAATGGCCTTTTGGTGGCTTGAAAACGCAAACTTTTGAAAAGAGCTTTCAAAGTGAAAGTTTTTGATAACGTTGTCATCTGTACAAAGAAAAAACGTTTCCGTTTGTAGCACATCGTCGTTGTGTAAACGTACCCTGATTCTCAAATGACTTATGCTTCCTAACTGGACAGATTGATATCCCTGAAGTCTAATTGACTTGGGCTGCGTCTGAAAACTTGGGCAGCTGACTTGTTTTCTTTCTGCCCCAAGGACAATGTGATGCTTATAAAATACGCAGACGACATGGCATTGGTGGGATATATGAAGGACACTCAATCATTGGATAATTACCTGGACGGAGGAGAGTTCTTTGCAGCTTAATACAAGTAAAACTAAAGAAATGTGATGGGGGCCCATAAATGCAGGTATATTTTTTTGAGCCTTTGTCAATTAATGGAAAGGATGGAAGTTGAGCAAGTAGGATCTTTTAAATATTTAGGTACAGAAATTGATCACAAGCATGCAGATAGTGTTTTTAGGAAGGCTTACCAACGTGATTGTTAAGGATATTAAGGAGTTTTGATATTGAAAAGGACATTCTAATAGTAGTATAAATCACTAGTTGAATCTGTGTTCACTTTTAACATCATAGCCTGGTTTAACTCTCTCTCTGTTAAGAGTAAAAACAGACTCTTAAGGATTATAAATTTGGCTAGTAAAATAATTGGGGGGAAAACAACACTGTAAAAAAATTGCTGTAGTTATGCAGCTGTTTGCCAGTAACTTACTGTAGATTTAAATTGATGTATATTTACTGGCAACAGTTAGTTCAAAGTTAAATGAACATTAAACATTAACAAGTCTTTGTCTTTACAGAATAAAATAATAAAATAACAATCTAATGCAAAGCATTCTGGGAACCAGAAATCTTCTTCAACCTTTTTCTGTTTTTTCCTTCAGATTTTGGTTCCCAGAATGCTTTGCATGAGGCTGTTATTTTAGTTTTATTCTGTAAAGATAAAGACTTGTTAATGTTTAATGTTCATTTAACTTTGAACAAACCGTTGCCAGTAAATAACATCAATTTAAAACTACAGTAAGTTACTGGCAAGCAGCTGCCAGTAATACTGTAATTTCTATAGATTTTTTTTACAGTGAAGGATCGCTTACGGATCTTTACATGGTGGCAGTAAAAAGGAAAGCCTCTTATTGTGACGGATTCTTCTCATCCCCGTTATTTCCTTCTGGCAGACGGTATAAAGTACTGTTGGTAAAAAAGGCCAAATATAAGAAGACTTTTATTCCACCTGTTATTTGTATTTTAAATGGGATCTTAAGATTAATCTTATGTTCTTTTTAAGAATTGTGTAGGTTTTAATGTTGTTGGTTTTAAAAATTGATGTTATGTTGTTATTGTATTGTTTGTTGAGTCTTTGTCTAAAGACAATTTTCTACCCCTGTGGGGATAGACAATTAAGTTTTGAATTGAATTTCTTTTTTTAATTGAATTAGGCAATGACTTTGAAGGCAGCGTTTGTGCATAACGGCACCTCATGGAATGGATTTTATACATACTGTTCTGAGGTAGTGTAACAAATGAAATATATTTAGCAAAATCAAGAGAGCTTTTTAATTACTACAATAGTCATTTCTCACTAGAAAGACATCAAAAGTGGAGAATGTACAGATAGGAACAGTGTGGGTGAAAATGTGTTAAGATAAAGAACTTTAAATTTTTTAATGTGTATCTCATCCTCATTTCCTGTAGAGGGCGCTAGATATCAGTGAAAGAGGTGGCCACCTAAATAAAGGTGCATTAATTGGTTATGATTTTAGGACTTCATTTGGTGTAATTGTGAATGAGCCATTTTCAACTTAAACATTGAGTCACTGTCACAAATTAAGACTAAAGTAAAGATTAAAGATTAGATTAAAGCATTCTAATAATAGTAAGCTTACTATAAAATATTTTAATGTTGTAATACAGTAATCAACAAATTGCTTTTTTAATGGTGCAGACATTCAATTCAAATTAAGGCTCAGTTTGAGATGCTGATCCAAAACTGCAAACACACGATGCAAGTCATTTCAGACATTAAAAGTAATGGTGTGAATAAACTTGGTGCTCAGAGAGATTCAAATGGAAAATGGCGATCCTACTTTAAATTCCTTCATAATGTAAGACAGCATTAGTATGTGTTTGGGAAACTGGCTCATACTGAAGCGCAGTTAGAGCGTGTGGGTTTAGATTACTCACAGAGATGGTTAATTGTGCCAGAGAGGGCTGTCTGTCGGATCCTCTCCACCTTGTGTCATAACAAACTACCACATGCTATGATTTCAGAGTAATTTTAGGTTGAGGTAAGTTAGCCGTTAAAGAGCTGGTGCATCATCCAGGAAGCTGGACGTTTAGGAGGGAGAACAATTCATGGTCTTCTTGAGTATGGCACTTAACGTTAAAATACTCTAAAGAGACGGTTAATGCACTTGACCTCACGGCGTTTGTCATCGCTGTGGATAAAAGCCTCTCTAAATGATCCAGTTCTGAAGTTCAGCGTTGGCCTTTGTCAGATTTCCAAGAAAGCAATGGGCACATAAAGAAAAAAGCTTTTTTTTTTTTATTGTATTCCAGTTCTTGAATTAATTCAATTCCGTTTACCAGGGATTAATCTAATATACAAATAACACACACATTTATAAAAATGACTTTCACTGAAATTGTCGTTGTACAGAGGCCCTAAAGGGACATGGTGGTGGAAAAAGTATATTTCAATGATTTTTTGCGATCCTCGGAGAAACTTTGCGCAAAAGCATTGTAATATATTTCTTTCTCCCATCTCATTTTTTGTTCTTCACCACGTCCCTTTAGGGGCTCCTTATTACTGGGTTAAAGAGGAGTAAAGTGCATATCTCAGACATGTTCTGTGATATTCTTTTTTGAATGTTTTTTTAATCTTTAAGAAAAAGCAATATATCGTAACCAATATTAAAACATCATCAAACAAATAGTGCAAGTAAGTTCCCACCAGTAGCCACAGAAGGGCTTCATATAGCCTATATATATACAAATCTTTAAGCACCTTCATTTTACATGGCCATTGAAACATCTTTGCATTTTGCACACCAAGATAAAAACGTTTTAAATGCTTTGTCAAGTGCAGAGATATTAAATTGTCGCGTCAATTCTCATCTGGAGTACTTGTACGGTGGCTCTTGGGTTGTTAGACTGGTGTTTTAGAAGAAAGTCCTGAAGGGGAAAATCAGTGTGTGAGTTTGTATCTGTTAAAAGCTTTTTATTTCAGAAATGTTTTGAGGGTTTGATGTCAGACATCGTTATACTGCTTCGACACACATTATCTCTTGAAAAACACGCTCCCTCTTCAGATAAACCAGAACACAAACGTGTTAGTGTCTTACAAAACCTCTTAGTAAAATATAGCCAAGGCTTATTTAAATATGCATAAATAGCATGAAAATATTTTTGTTTCGTTTTAAACGATGCTGAATTATTCTAGCCATTCAGATATGAAAGTTTGTGGACATTTCCCCCCCCCCATATTAGTTTCCTGTACCTCCAAGACACATGAGAAAAGAAAGACTGCTTTGCAAAAGAGGTGAAAACATTGGATTTCAAGTTTGTTCTTTAACAACACATCTTTGGATGTTTTACAACGTTCAGTATAGAAATACCTACGATAATGAACAATTCCACCATAGAACCTGAAAGCCATCTATACAAATGATCATTTTAAATGTTGCAGACAAGAGCGTTCAGTTTAATCAGGGGTTGATTGAGATGCACAATATAAATAATTTAAATCCTGAAAGTTATTATGAGAAAAATAGCTTGCATTATTTATTTGCACATTACTGCAGATTGGTTTGACATCTTATTTTGACTGTAAAAAAGTTTTTATCGTTTGTGCGTGTTAAAAATGCTTTCCAATTCCTGAGACTTTTTCTGATTAATCTGTCTTTGTGGTTTCTATTGTAATTCTAAAAATGTAACCACTTTTGTATTTTGCATAGTGGACGTACAACGGTTTGTAATTGTTCCTGTCTTCAGGATTTAGATTTACTGCAAACATTAGAGAACCATTGTCAGATAATGCAATGCAAACACCAAAGCTTCTAGCTTATTTCAGCAGGACGTATTTTTCTTTCAGCATACCTGATTGTCAATTTTTTTGCATTCAATTTTCACACACTCCATTGCACTGAACAGTCTATGAGCATATCACCATTGTTACTTAGCAAACGCTGAAGCATCAAAAACAGCTTTAACAAAAAAGCACATCCAAATCTAGTCATTTAAAAAGTTTTTAAAATCCCTGTCATCCCATTGGAAGCTGACTTATGAAACGAACGAACGAACGAAAAAAAAAAAAGTAATTCTTTTATTTTTAATATTACAGAGTCTGAACCCGAGACTTCTCCGAAGCGAGCAGCTGTTTCAAGCTGAGCCAATCAGAGCTCAGGAATTAAGGGAAAAGTCACTTTGCGGCTTCGGGAATGGGCGGGGCTCGTTCCAGTCTCACGGCCCAGGGGTCAGAGGGCGCCGAATAAAAGGGTGGGTGGGGGAGAACGTCTTCCGTGGCCATGGCGAAAGCGAACACGCCCCGCTTCCTATTCACGTCCTCTGAGATGATCTTCCTGTCAGTCTGTCCACGGCTGTCGTCCACGTCCTCCATGGTTTTCCCTCCCGGAGGCTGCTGTTTCTCAGCCCGCTGAGCCAGCAAAGGGGCTTGGAGGGCGTCGGGATCCTGGGGGAAGAGGAAGTTGGTGGCCCGCCAGGCGGAGGGCTTTCGGCCCCGCCGCGGGCGCGAGACACGGCAGCTCTGACGCTTGATGTGCCGGTGCAGGTGGTCGGAGCGCGTGAAGCTCTTGTAGCAATGCTCGCACTGGTACGGCCGAACGCCCGTGTGGATGCGCAAGTGGTTCTTCAGGTCGTAGTTGTGAACGAACTTGGAGTTGCAGTGCAGGCAGATGTAGGGCCTCTCGCCGGTGTGCTTGCGCATGTGAATCTTCAGTTTGTCTTGCCTAAAAAAGAGTAAAGTTTGAGGTTATTTTGTGTACTTGTAAGATGCACCAGGTGTTTTTTCCCAAGGAGCACATGCAAAATCCGAAAAATTAAAAAACAAGTTTAGGAGCGCATTAAGAAAACTTAAGGGGTGCAATGAAAATGTATCTAAAAATGTGTTTTTCTTAATAAAGGAATACAAGGAGACATTTACAAGCAAAATGATTTATTATATGATATCAGGGAACTACACTAACATTTTCCACTGGTGGCACTTGCGCTACTAACTTTTTCAGTTACTAGCGCAAAACATGATTTGGTCGCACAAATTATTTATATAGTAAGCCGCTCTGGATAATAATGACCAATAGTGAAACTGTATTGCATACAGATGTGCTTTTTATTTTACTCTCCATCTTTTAAAACACATGCCTTCTTGTTTTCTTTAAAAATGGTTGGGATAGATATACTGCAATAGAAAATACAGTAGCCTACACAATAAAGTGCTAAATTAATTTCTTTTGGATTTCACCATGCTATGGTTGGCACAGATGGGCAGACTTCTGAACTCTTAAGGAAAAGTAAAATAAATATAATATGTCATTGTGAAGCTTCAATGATTCGTGTTTGAATTGTTTTGACGCAGTTACAAATTTGGACAGTCCTGCAATTGAAGGCCCACAGAATTTACAGTAGGGCTGCACGATATTGGTAAAAAAATGACATTGCGATATTTGATTTTTCTGCGATATATATTGCGATATAAAAACAATTTCACCAGATGACTTGAATAGCTCTACTTGGAAAGAATGAATAATTCTAGAATGACTCTTGAGTTCAGTGTTGGACAGATCAGATGTTATTTTAACCATTCATTAAAGTGAATCGGTTCAAAGGAGTCAGTTCGCGAATCGGACGTGTCATTAACGGACCACGGCACACGTTGTGTGATTATCCAGGCAGTTTAGGACATCGCACAAGATTTGTCTCAACACAGAAAACGAATCGGTTACCTAACGTAACCTCGGTTCTCTCTAGAAGAGGGAACGAGTATTGCGTAAGCTAGCTTACGCTGCGGGAAAGATTCATCTTTGCTGAGATATTGAAGCCAAAAAATTATTTCATAATTTTGTATCCATACACAACGCAGTTCCTCTGCGGCAGACCTAGAGCGGGCTAGCTAGCAGCTCATTGGTTCGCTCAGAGAGAACTGCTTAAGCCTATGGGAGAGCAGGGCTGAACCCGCTTCCAATGAGAGGCGCCCGCGCGCTCATTGCGTCATGACCCGCCAGAATGGGCGTGGCCATGGTGTATATAAGGCGCTCTCCCAGGCTTATATGTTGATTTATTTCAGCGTGAAGCGAAACGCTAGTAGCGCAAGCACGGCCGGGAACGCAATACTCAGACTGATCTCATGAAATGGCGTATGTATGACACGCCAATTCGTATTTTCATTTTTGGCGTGCTATCAACACGCATAATCGCTTTTCAGCGTGTTTATCAACGCCTTTGACTTAACGTTATATTACTGTATTATGTATATATAAATATATGACCTACCCCAACCCCGTCCCTAAACCTACCCGTCACTGGGGTTAATACCATTTATGAGTCTTCTCCTACCATCCTAGGAAAAGAAATATCGCTCCACAGATGTAGATATAGATTTTGCTTCGTTTCGCTCGGACATTTAACGGCGTACACATACACGCGGAATCACTCGGACATTTAATGGCGTAGACATACACGCAAAAGATTTCGGCGTTGACATACACGCGGATACCTCAAAATGCGTATAGATAACACGCCACTTGAATTGAAAGTGGCGTGTATGTTTACGCAAAGTCATGATGTCATGTTGCAATACTCGTTCCCTCTTCTAGAGAGAACCGAGGTTACGTTAGGTAACCGATTCGTTCTCTTACGAGAGGTTCTCTCGTATTGCGTAAGCTAGCTTACGCTGCGGGAACACCTGGCCAACGCCGTGCGCGCTACGAATCCACTCATGAAAAACCCAGGGATATACCGGGGGAATTTCTTAACGTGGAGTGAATGTACAAAGAGGCCGCAGAGCGGGCTCATGAAGTGTACACATAAGCATGTATGGGGCCAGCAGAGCGGGCACATGAAGTGTATAAGCATTACAGGAGAGCACAAGGGGCGAACCGGTTGTGAGGGACCTCCAGAAATGCAGCTTCTTAGAGAGCTGTTCGTCAGACAGCTAGTAATTTTGCCTGCAAGGCGGGAACTTCCAAGTTATAAAACCTGACAAAAGTGGACGGGGAGGCCCATCCCGCGGCCACACAAATGTCATGAATGGAAATTCCACAGGACCATGCCCACGATGAGGCCATGCCTCTAGTGGAGTGCGCCCTGATGCCCAGAGGGCAGGGCAGGCATTTAGATGCGTAAGCAGAGGCGATAGCGTCCACTATCCATCTAGACAGTGTCTGTTTTGAGGCGGCCAGACCCTTGGTGCGCCCCCCAAACGACACGAAAAGCTGCTCAGCGCGTCTGAACGCGGCAGCGCGCGTAGTGTACAATCTCAGAGCCCGCACCGGACAAAGGAGATTGGCATCGCGCTCACTATCGGATGAAGTCAGAGCCGATAGGGAGATAATCTGAGCCCTGAACGGGGTACCAATCGCCTTCGGGACATAGCCATGCCTAGGTTTGAGAATGACAATCGAATCATTCGGTCCAAACTCAAGACACGCGGCGCTGGATGAGAGCGCGTGAAGATCCCCAACGCGTTTAACTGAGGACAGAGCCGTCAGGAAAACGGTTTTGAGCGAGAGGTATTTCAGATCCACAGACTCGAGCGGTTCGAACGGGGGTGCTTTCATAGCTTCAAGGACTATAGAAAGATCCCAAACCGGAACCGACGGGGGCCGCGGAGGGTTCATCCTCTTAGCTCCCCTGAGGAAGCGGATGACTAACTCGTCTTTGCCCAATGACTGAGCGCGTCGGGGTTCCGCGAACGCCGCGACGGCTGCCACATAAACCTTGAGAGTGGAGGGGGACCTGCCCTTGTCCAGCATCTCTTGAAGGAAAACAAGCAAAGACGGCACCTCGCACGACCGTGGGTCCAGCTGTTTGTCGGTGCACCATTTTGAGAACACAGACCATTTAGACGCATAGAGCCTTCTCGTGGAAGGTGCTCTAGCCTGTATGACAGTGTTTCTTACTCCCTCTGGCAAATCAACGAATAGTCGTTGATCACCCATGCATGCAGCGCCCAGCGCTGTGGATGGGGGTGCCAGATCGTGCCGCGAGCTTGAGAGAGGAGATCTGCTCTGACTGGGATGGGCCACGGGGCTGTCTGTGACAGCTGCGTGAGCTCCGGAACCCAATTCTGACTCTCCCAACGCGGGGCTATGAGGAGCACCGAGTGGCGTGTGTCCCTGATCCTCTGAATTACCTGTGGTAACAGAGCGATCGGAGGGAATGCATAGAGCGGGCGGCGAGGCCATTCCTGGGCTAGCGCGTCCTCGCTCTTCGAGAAATATATTGGGCAGTGAGCGTTCTCTTCTGACGCGAAGAGGTCTACTTCTGCTCTGCCGAATAGTCGCCACAGTAACTGGACCGTCTGTGAGTTCAGGGACCATTCTCCTGTGGAGATGAGGTTCCTGGACAGTATGTCTGGACCGTCGTTCAGATGGCCCGGCACGTGCGTCGCTCTGAGCGAGAGCAGGCGGCTCTGAGACCAAACTAGAATGCGGTGCGTCAGTCGACAGAGATTTCTGGATCTGACACCGCCCTGACGGTTGAGATAGGAGACCACGGCCATATTGTCCGAACGGATCAGGACGTGGTGTCCCTGGATGCGCGGGAGAAAGTGCGAGAGCGCGTTCTCGACCGCCAGCATTTCCAGACAGTTTATATGTAATGGGCTTTCCTGAATCGACCAGTGGCCGAAGGCCGGTGAGCCCTCGCAGACTGCACCCCAACCCGTGTTGGATGCATCTGTCGAGATGACTTTTCGGCAGGAAAAGGTCCCCATCGTGACGCCTAGACGAAACCATTCTGCTACTGTCCATGGCTGCAGCGCCGTGAGACACGTTTGCGTAACCCTGATCAGCTGGCGACCCGTGTTCCACGCGCGGTGGGGTACACGGCTGTTCAACCAGAACTGAAGCGGGCGCATGTGCAGAAGGCCCAGCTGAAGTACAGCGGAGGCTGAGGCCATGTAACCCAGCATCCTCTGAAAAGTTTTCAGAGGCCTGCGGGTGCCCATCTGGAACGAGGCGGCTAGACGCTGAACACTGCGCGCGCGCTGTGTAGACAGGCGAGCCGTCATCGTGACCGAGTCCAAATCTATTCCTAGGAAGGAAATCGATTGACTGGGATGAAGGGAGCTCTTTGTCCAGTTGACAGAGAGGCCCAGCGTTTCCAAATGGTCGAGGAGAACTGCGCGGTGCGACAGAAGCTCCGTCTGTGATTGGGCCAAAATCAGCCAGTCGTCCAGATAATTCAGAATGCGCAGCCCCTGGCTTCGCAGGGGGGCGAGCGCCGTATCCATGCACTTCGTGAATGTACGGGGCGCCAGAGATAAGCCGAACGGGAGAACGGCATATTGATAAACAAGACCCTCGAAGGCGAAACGTAAGAATGGCCTGTGACGGGGATTTATCTGGATCTGAAAATAGGCGTCTTTCAGGTCTAGAGATATGAACCAGTCCCCTTGGCGCACCTGCGCGAGGAGTTTCCTGGTAGTGAGCATCTTGAACGGTCTCTTCATGAGCGCTTTGTTCAAAGACCTGAGATCTAAGATCGGTCTGAGGCCGCCGTCTTTCTTGGGAACCAGAAAATAACGGCCGTAAAACCCCGACTCGGTCATAGATGGCGGGACTCTCTCTATCGCGCCCTTTTGCAACAGCGTCGCAATTTCTGAGCGGAGCGTGCCGGCGGCCAGCGGGCTGACAGAAGATTCGAGCTGCGCGCGCGCACGAGGCGGGCGGCGGCGAAACTGTAGCAGGTAGCCGTTCTTTATAATGCTTAACACCCACGGGGAAATGCC